AAAAAGGTATTTTTCCAATTCCGGATTTCACTAGACATCATAAATTGTTCCCTGTAAACTGAGTCTTCCTCTTGAAGTTTTTGAATACTGTTACTGATTGAAAATGAATTTTTGTCAAGATAGTAGATATATTGATTTTTTTCTTGACAAACAAATCTTTTGGGGTATTTGCCTGAATCGGAATGATGGTATGGATAGCTGAAGTCACTCGTGAATAGTTCTGAGGACTCTTGACGTAGCAATATCGATCAAATTAGAAGACATTCTCATCAGGACCACCAGAGTCTATTTATGCCACCCAGTGGGATTTAGTATCCAAAATTCACTAGAAGAAACCATATTTTAGTAAGAATGCTTACTGAGGTGAGCTAAAGCTCTAGAATTTCCAGATGAGAATGTTAAAGCTTCGTTGTAAATTAGCATTATTGAAGGCCCCAATTCAACCCTTGAATAAGCTATTTTTCAAGAGCTAGTGGATCCTTTTTTATCAGTTTATAATGTCTCCTCCTTATTATGGTACTTGAATCCATGTTATTATAGTGTAGACACTGGGCATAATGAGCCCACTCATCCTTACTAAATACCTTATGTGTAGGCAAAGCAGTAGCTGTGGGTAAGAGCTAAAATGTTCAAGCTAGCCTACATTTCAGACAGTAAAAGTTTATTCCTTCATTCACCCTAAATCTGAGGTTCCTACAGCAAATCCAGGGGTGAATATATTACTATTGGCAGTAATAATATTTGTATAGAGTTTAACAGTTTACAAAATTCTTTCCTGAGTTTTAATTCTCAAAATAATTCTGTGAACTTCTCTTCATGTTTATTTTCTACATATGAGGAAAGTAGAATACAAGTTCTCAATTAGAAGCATATTTTTGGTTTATTAATTTTTAGGAGTCCAAAAGTATTCCTGATTTTATAGAACAGTGTGAAGTGCCAATGGAAAATTAAATAAAAACTACCTCATTTGAATAGCTTCTCTCTTGAAAATGACACATATTTGGATAGTAGTATCCTTCCATTTGATTATGTGGGATGCCTGGGGTATGTTCTGTATTTACTTTTATATCTCTGAGAAAAAGAAAGTTTCAGTGTTCACAATTACAAATTTAACTTTCTCACCCTACTTCACTCTTACCATTTTAGAAGTTTCCTCAGAAATAGAAATTTTCCATAAATTGATATTATTTTGTTTATTAGCTACAAGTGTCCATGGCAGTGCAACCTAACCATGCAGCCAACTAACAGCATATCTAGGAGGCATAATCTCTTCTAGGAAGTCTCACAGAGGACTGAATATATTATACCAAATTTTGTTTATACTTCAGAGGTTTCCAGGACAAAAAACTTATATATTGAGTTCATAGCATATAAGAGGCACTAAAAATCTCAATAATATCTTAACTAAAAAATAAAACTACCATATCCAAAAATCCCACTTCTGGGTATACATCCAAGGGAAATGAAATCAGCATGTCAAAGAGATATCTGTACCCCCATGTTCATTGCAGCATTATTCACAGCAGATAAGATATGGAAACAACACAACCTAAGTGTCTGTTGGGTGAATGGATAAAAAAAATGTGAAGTGTACACACACACACACACACACACACACACACACACACAATGGAATATTATTTAGCCATAAAAAGAGGGAAATCCTGCCATTTACAACAACATGAATGAATCTGGAGGACATTCTACTAAGTGAAATAAGCCAGACACAGAAAGACAAATACTGTATAATCGTCCTTATATGTGGAATCTAAAAAAGTTGAACTCATGGAAAGCAGAGAGTAGAACAGTAGTTGCCAGGGGATGAGAATTGGGGGAAATGGGGAGATGTTAGTCAAAGTGTTACCAGCCTCCAAGTGGAGGATTTTACAAGTTCTTGGTGTTCTTGGGGAAAAGAATTTCAGGATGCACTATGTAAGCCAAGCAGGTGACAGTTTTTATTTAAAACGAAAGTATGCTTTCCAGGAGGAAAGTGGGCAAGTTTAAAAGACAGCAGCCGCACTGAAAGGAAGTGGTTTTAGATCTTTTGAAGTCTTACTAATTGAGGGGAGGAATATTCAAGGCCAAGGGGTTGGCTTTTACTAAGAATTTGGGTAGTAATTCCAAGAATTGGGTTCCCTCCCATTTCCGTACTTTATATGGTTGTCTTGGAACCGTCAGGGTGATTTCAAGGGTGAACAAATTTTAACATTACAATGTAAATGATATTGTAATTAGCCAAAGTTCACGTAAGGTGGCAGAGATAGCTGATAAGCTAGTCAAAGCCAGTTTTTGCCTGCGGTTATCAGCCCCTCTAGTTAGCTTCTGCTCAAGAGTTGTTTATTTTAACACCTGTACCCGATCTGCAAGTCCCTGCATCTGGTCTCAGCCCTGTCTCCCAGTTTTCTACTCTGACAAAAGGGTACAAACTTTCAGTTATAAGATAAGTTCTGGGGATCTAATGTACAACATAGGGACTATAGTTAATAATACTATATTATATTCTTGAAATCTGCTAAGAGGGTAGATTTTCAGTGTTCTTACCACATACCAAAAAGTGGTGACTATGTGAGGTGATGAATATTTTGATTAACTTGATTATGGTAATCACTTTACAATGTATACATGTATCAAAACATCATGTTGTACACCTTAAATATATACAATTTATATTTGTCAATTATTTCTCAATAAAGCAGGAGAGAAAAGATCTCAACTAATCCTCTATGACATAGAACACATTTTCACAATGATTGGTAAGCCAGTATCTTAGTAGGATGAAACTATGCAACAACCTTGGAAAACCCTTTGTTTCACACTAATGATATGATGTACATTTATTACCAAGATGACTTCAGTGGAAGAGTAACTCAGATGATGGCTACGCATCAATTTTCCCAGTAGTTTGGGAGGGTTGAGTGGTAGAAATAAAGAGTCCCTGCATGATTAGGAAACATTTCCAATTTGCAGGTTACTGAAAGGCAGTAGTTTTGCCATCCTTCGATAAGCTGGCATCCTAGAGGAGGGTCAAATAAAGAATGGTGTTGTGACAACTTAGACCTAACCACAAAACACCAGCATATTTTAAAGAGAAGGAGTGAACACACTTGGCAATAGAAGCTAAAAATTGAGAGACTACCAATTAAGGCTCTGGTCGCCCAGCCAATGTAATTCATTCTCTGTTTTGGCACTGGCTACTCCATTATTTCTCCTTGTGCTGTTCCTGTATTCTGCTCCCTATTTAACCCACGAAAAAGGGTGATGGCACTACAGCTGCTGTAAACATGAAGCTGCTGAACAAATACTTCCCATAAGGACCTTCACTGTAGCTTTCAATCTTCCACCTGTATTGTGGGATCTGCCCTTCTATTTCCCTGTCTACTTCAAGGTTATTGAGAGTCAGTCATCCCCTAGCTATCACCATGGTGTGAAAAAGAAACGTTAGAGACTGCAAGCTTGTTGTAGAACTTAACCTCCGGTACTGGTACACAATATTAGATGGCATGAACTGTTATTCATCTTGCTCAAAGGTTAAACTACCTGCACAAAAAAGTAAGCAACATCACAAGCTCCTTTTATACTTTCACAGTAATTAGGTTCTGTTTAATGATAGATAACTAAGATTTTAATTAATGAGAATTTAAACTACAAAGATGTACTGGATCCACTCCCAGCAAAGGTTAATAATAAATTCATGTGCAGTTTTAAAATGTGACAATTTTCTGTAAAAATGCCATTTTCAGTAAGCAAGTTATCTGTAGAGATAATTTCTAAAGAGTGCATAACAGTGACACTAATTTTAATTGGTCTTGTCCCATTGATGAGAAAGGGTCTGGATCTTGCCAACTACTATATTTTTTTCTATAACGTCCATTTGCTGCTTTCCTCTTTATTTCCTTCTTTTTTAAAGGTTGGCAAGTTTAGAATTTTCAAGAATCTGGACACGAATGCATTTTTATAAAGAAATGTCAAAAGTTTTCCATTATACATTATTACTCCCTGTACCAACAGGTTGATTCACAAAAGGCTGCAACAAAGCAAGTCAATCAGATGCAAACTAGGTTAACAGAAAAAAAAGTCCACAGTGAGAGAAGTGCTGAGTCCTGTGCAACACAGAGAAAAGTGCAAAAGGAGGAGAAGCTCATTGGACTGATGAAGAATGAAGCAGCTCAGGTGAGAGGGGCTGTTGGGTTTTTTTCCCCTTAATGTTACATTACAATATGCCTTTTGGGAATAAAGACATCTTATTTTCTCCTGAGGGCCAAGGTTGTATGGTTTTGTTAAATGAGAAGAGACAGAACATCCTAGCCTGCTGAAAAATCAAAAGCCGCCAACACCAGTTATCACAGAAACAGAACAGCAGTGAGCACATTTGCATACAGATCTGATTTCTTTCTTTATCCTAAGAATGTAATGAAGTACACTTAAATTTCTTATGCCATCTATGATCCATTAGGGACTCTTAACATATTGTATACTTTTACATTGGTTCCTCAAGTCGAACCCTTATAATTAAATATAAGTGAAGTGTTTCCCTGTCAATATGGTTGTATTTTAAAATGATGTATTTTTTACATCATTCAGTCATTTGCGTAGATAGTGACTCACCTTTAGCAGATGACTCATTCAAGCAACAGCAAAAGTCCTTCCTAATCTAACCTTTTTTGACAAGAAGGAGAAGCATACAATGTATTTATGTCTGTAATGAAAAAATATTAAATTTTGTCAAAATGTCCAACATTTTATGTGATTTATACACTAGTATTTTCCCCAAATGATTTGAAGTAGTTTACCCTATGAAACAGGATAATTTAATACCCCACCTTGTATACCCTACCTCCAAGAAAAATTGATATATCAGGCAGCTGGGATGTTAATCACTAAACTGAGCACTGAATTTGGCTCTGAACTTCTTGGCAGCCAAGGCAAAAATTAGAAGCATAGTAGTTATACATTCCTCATCCAACCAGCAAGCATACAAGTTTATCCAGAGAGAGATATGCTTTTCTCAGTATTATTAGGAATCTTTTACATTTATTCTGGTATAAAATAGTAGCATTATTTGTAGGTTTATTTTAAATTTATATAAAGGAATCTGTTTCAAATGGGTATATTTTATAGTTCCCATTTATAAAATTAAAGACAAATATTGCTTGGTGATACAATTTAAGATTCTAAATCTCTCTAATCTAGAGATTCTTCCTCAACTATTACTGTGTACCAGAATCACCTGGCATACAGAAGTAGGGAGGTATTATAAAAATACTGATGCCTACGTTTCAAGCAAAAAATGGATTTATTTTGGCTGAGGTGACAATGGGGTATGGATGTGTAGATTTATCACTCCAGAAAGTCCTTTGTTTCTTTCCCGGGTCAGCCCCCTTCCCCTGGAGGCAACCACTGTTCCGACATTCTGATTTTCATTGCTAGATTACTTTTGCCTCCTCTAGAATTTCATATACATGTGGTCATACAGTATGCATTCTTCTGTATCTGGCTTCTTTCACTCAGCTTATTTTTATTTATTTATTTATTTTTTGAGATTTATCTGTATTCATGCATGTATCAGTGACTTGTTCTTTTTCATTGCTGAGTAATACTCCACTGTATAACCACATCGTAATTCATGTGTCCATTCTCCTGTTAATGGACATCTGAGCTGCTCCTGTTTTCTGGCCACCAGGAATATAGTTACTATGAACATTCTGGCACAAATCTTTCTATGGGCATGTTTCATTTCTCCCGAGACATGGACTTGTTGGGTCATAGGGCAGCTGACGTATAGTTCTTGAAAGTGACTCCCACCAGTAATGTACAAGAGTTCTGGCCATTCTGCTTCTTCCTCAATATTTGGTGTTATCAATCTTTTTACTTTTAACCATTCAAACATGTGCATTAGTACCTTATTATGGTTCCAATTGTCATTTACCTCACATCTAATAATTTTGAGCACTTTTGCATGTGTTTACTAGCCGTTCATATATCTTCTTTTATAAAGTGTCTTTTCAAGTGTTCTGACCAATTTTATTTAGATATTTGTCTTTTTACTATAAAGCTGTGGGAGTCCTTTATATAGTCCACATAAAACCCTCCTGTCAGATATCTGTATTATAGATATCCTCTCCTAGTATGTAGCCTGCCTATTCATTTACTTAATAGTGTCTTCACATGAGCAGAAGCTTTTTATATTATTCATTACTTTTATTTGAAGTTTATCAGTTTTTTTCCTTTAATAATTTTTTTGAATTTTTCCGGTAAAGAAACCTAAGAAACCTTTGCCTACCTCAAAGTCACTAAGTTCTTTTGCTATATATTCTTATAGAATGCTTATAGTTTTAGCTTTCATTGCTGGGTCTATGAGACAAGATCAATTTTTGTGTACGGTGTGAGGTAGGGGTTGAGGTTCATTCTTTCCCATATAGCTAGCCAGTTCCGTATAGCTTTATATTGCAGCATCATTTGTTGAAAAGATTTTCCTTTTCCTAATTGAGTTTCCTTAGAGCCTTTTTCAAAAGTCAGATAGCCATGTAAGTGTGGGCCTATTTCTAGACTCTATTTTCTTCCATTTGTTTCTTTTTACACCACCACCACACTGCAATTACTGTAGCTTTACAGCAAGTTTTGAAATTAGAAGTGTAAGTCCTTCAGTCCTTTTCTTTTCTTTCAAAAATGCCTTGGCCATTTTAGGTACTGGTCTCCTCCATAAGATTTAAGAACCAGCTTGTCGATTTCCACCATAATGGGCCTTGGATTGGTAATACGTTCAGTGTAAAGATCAGATTAGTGAGAACTGGGATCCCAGCAATGTGCCCTCCAGTGCATGAAACTGGTACTTCTCTCCATTTATGTAGATAGCCTTTAATTTCTCTCAACAATGTTTTATAGTTTTTAGTGTAGACATCTTATACATCTTCCATTAAAATTATCTCTAAATGTTTTTTGTACCTATTATTTTTTAAAATTTCATATTCTAGTTATTTGTTGCTGGTAGATAGAAATATAATTGATTTTGTATATTGACCTTTTGTCTTGGACCTTCCTAAATTCACTTATTAGTTCTAGTAAGTTTTTTTTTTTTTTAAATAGATTCTTAGGATTTTCTACATAGTTAATCATGTTTTTTGTGAGACAGGTTTACCTCTTCCTTTCCAACATGTATGCCTTTCATTTTGTTATATTATTACACCTGCTAAGATTTCTAGTACTACATTGAATAGAAATTGTGAGAGTGGCCTTCCTTGCCTTGCTCCTGATCTTAGGGGGAAAGCAGTTTTTCTTTCACCGTTGAGTTAGCTGTGGATTTTTCCTAAATGTTCTTTATCAGGTTGAGGAAATTTTGTCATATTTGTTGAAAAATGAATTCAAGTAATCAATGAGCATTGAGATCTCTTGAGAGATCATATGAACATATGATTTTTTCTCCTTTACTAGTGTGATGAATTACATTGATTTTTGAATGTTAAATCAACCTTTCATTTGTAGGATAAACCCCATTTAGTCATGATATGTTAATCTGCTGAATTCGCTTTGCTGAATTCCAACTCAAATCCTGCTGAATTTTAATTCTATGAAGGATTTTTATATCTATATTGAGGAGAGATATTGGTTTGTAATTTTCTTTTCTCACAACATTCTTGTATGGTTGTTTTCAGGGTCATTATGAGTTGGAAGTGTTCCCTCTGTTTTCAGAAAATGTTTTGTTAAGATCTGTCTTTCTCAAATGTTGGATAGAATTTAGCAAGAAAACCATCTGGGCGGAGAGTTTTGTGGGGAAAAATTTTAATTATGAATTTACTTTCTGTAACAGATGAAGTGATCATTACGTTTCTTTTTCTTCTTGTGTCAGTTTTGGTAATTTGCATTCTTTAAGGAATTTGTCCCTCTCATCTAAGTTGTCAAATTTATCAGCACTGAGTTAGGATATTCTCTTATTATCTCTTTAAGAACTCTCATATCTGTACTAATGTCCCTTCTTTCATTCCTGATAATGGTAACTTTTGGTTTCTTTCTTTTCTTTTTTTTTTTTTTGATAGCCTAGGTAAAGGCTTATTGTTTTCATTAATCTTCATAAGGACTAACATTTGGGTTTTCTTTTCTTTTTTTTTAATTCACTGTTGTTTCCTATTTCACTAATTCTTTATCATATCCTTCCTTCTACTTATTTGGGTTTAGTTTATTCTTCAAGATTCATAAAGTGAAAGCTTAAATCATTGATTTTAAGCCTTTTTTCTTTTATAAACTATATACTTAAAGCTATACATTTTTAAGCTGTGCTTTAGCTGTATTCCACAAATTTTGATATGTTGTGTTTTCATTATTGTTCAGTTGAATATATTTTCTAATTTCCCTTGACTTATTCTTTGATCCATGGATTGTTTAGAACTATGTTATTTAATTCCTAAATATTTTTGAGATTTGCTTGGTATCTTTTTGGTATTCATTTCCAATCTAGTTTTGGTGTCATCAGAACATGTTCTCTATTATTCCAGTCCTTTAAAATTTATTGAAACTTATTTTATCCCTCAGCAGAAGGCCTAGTTTGTTGAATGTTGCTTGTATACTTTTAAAGAATTGTATATTCTGAAGCTTGGGGGTGTGCTGTTCTTTAAATGTTAATTAGGTTAAATTGATAGTGTTGTTCAGGTCTTCTATATCGTCACGTTTTTGTTTTATTCTGTCCTTTTGTTTCTTATTTAATGACAAAAGAATATTAAAATATCAACTGTAATTGTAAATTTGTCCATTTCTCCCTTAGTTCTATAAGTTTTTACTCAGTGGATTTTGATGCTGTGTTAATTAGATGCGTACAGATTTAGGACTGATGTTTTCTTGGTGAACTGTCCTGTTTATCATTATGAAACATTTTTCTTTCTATCTGTTCAGTACTCTTTGACTTGAATTCTACTTTAACAATTCCAACCTTCCTATGATTAGTATTTATATGTTGTATCCTTTTCTATTTAATCCATCTGTCTTTATATGTATTTTTGTAAATAGTATATAGTTGTCTCACTTTTTTATAAATCTGACAAACACTACCTTTTCATCGCTCTGTTTACATTTAATGTTATTATTGATATAGTTGAGTTTAATCTACCATTTTGCTATTTGTTTCCTATTGTTCCATTTGTTGTTTGTCACATTTTACCTCCTTTCTGCTTTATTTTGGACTG